TAGATGAGGAATCCCTGCCTAGCTACTGTGAGAAAATAATCATTAGCAGATGATTCCTCTTGTGCTATGTGGAGCACTTCTCACCTAGCTGCCTGGTAGTGTGCGTAGTGTGTTAGCTGCTGCATTCGTGTCAGCAGGAGGAGCTCTAAGCATTGACTTGAACAATTATGCAAAACCTTTTTCTGTGTTTCTTTTTTGTGGGGTTTTTGTTTTTTTATGGGGGGTTGTGATAGCCCTTCCCAGCCCTTAGCGCATCCTTCATAGCTCAAACCAGTTCACTTGAGCCAACTGTCCTCCTCAGAAATGGCTGGTTCACAGCAGGAGTGAACTGAAAAGATGGGCTGTAAAACCTCAGGTATTCCATAGACTTCTTAAAACTTTGGTCTCTTTTGAGATAGGCCATCAGAAGTCCTGAGCTGGCTTTGTGACATTGCTGTGTGCAAAAGAAGCTGAGGCTGGAAATGGCAAATGATATTCTTGCTTAGAGCAGGAGGGAATTGTTCTGCATGTCCCTTCAAGAACTGCTACTAATTAATTTCATTTTCTGTCCAAGCAGAAACGGGTAAAATAAAACTGTTTTGTAGGAATTGAATAACTGCTTTAATAAAGCCGCTACTGAGTAAATTTCTTAGGTAAAATTCTTGTGGCGTTTGTCAATCATTGCTTTGCTTGCTAAAGTACCCACTTAACAAGTTTGTACAACTCTGGTTCCAAGACGTGCTGCAGAGCAGTGTGTTTTAACATGAATTTTTATTTCTGACAAGCCTTCAACTTTCCTGTTGCCACTTTTCAGCTTTTCCGTCGTGTGGCTGCTGCCTTACCTGGGATGGACAGCACACCAGAGAAGAGCAAAGAAGACAGTATCCTTGCTTCTCAGCAGTAACTTACCCTGTTCTTGTAGAATTTTACAATTATCATTTGATAGGTTGGGCTAACTGACTTTTTGGCACATTGTGGGGGTGAGCCTTACTGGAGTTTTGCAGAGATGGGGCTAGAACTGCCACTGTAGTGTGGTGCTTACCTGTGGTCATAAATTGAGTATCCTGATTGTCTGTGTATAAACATACACAGCTATTTATAATGGCAAGCACAAGTTTTGTTTTCTCCACTTAAGCTTAGGATAGAAATTCGCATGGATTTAAAACACCATACTTTTTTTACACAGGGCTGTCTTGTGTGCAGACCTGCCTGACTCAGCTCTAACCTCTGAGTAGTTTTGATATACAGTCTGTGGGTTTTGCAGTTAATCCTGTAGGCAGGATATGCTCTGCTAACCCCCTGCCCCTATTAAGAAGGGCCACCTAACAGGCTTTTCAGATACTGATACTTTTCTGTGTTCTTTATTTCTTGTTTTTCCTTGAACTGGGGGTTTTCCTTCACTTGTCTCCTGCAGTGATTGATATCAAACTAGAGAAACCTCCTGAGCAGCCAGTAACGGAGAGCGGGTGCTCCTGCTAACAGGCCCGTTCTGTAGCAGCACATTCCCCAACCGGCCAGTCTCACTGAAGAACATCACTGCTCATTGGCAACCCTACTCTGTGGGCTGAAAAACCAATCTACTAAAGCGAGCGAACTCCCTGTTTACTGGTGGGGAGCAGCCCCGGCCGCCCCTCTTACTGCATGGTATGAGCCCTGAGTGCAGAATGAGTGTCCTGTCTTTCCTTTTCTTTTCTTTTCTTTTATGTTGTTGCACTTTGGCACTGTGGTGCCCTTTACAGTCTCTCTTCCTCTCCTCCTCCCTCTCTTTTCCACCTCGAGCCTCTCTGCTCAGATATATCTTGTGAATGCAATTGGAAAACCCACCAAGTTAGGGAAGACAAAAATAAAGCTTGGGGGTAGGCTTTCCACCTTCCTCACTGCCTTGCATCCTTGGCCACTCCAGCCCTGCCTTTATCCTGCATCCCCACTTCCTCTGTTGAAAGGCTGCTCCTTTTAAACCAGTCAGTTTGACTTGGCCTTGCCTTTTTTGGACAATACAGGTTATCTGTTTCTAGGCTTTTGCTTCCTGCAGGGCACACACAGTATTAGCTCCTCAGTTTCTCCTTTCTGTGGATGATCTTGGCTAACTCTTGCTCATGACTTCTGAGTTTTGCCCCTCATGTCACACACAGCACTGGAGAACCCCAAACTCTGATAGCTTTGGCCTTGTTGCTTCCATTTGTATAGCAGAGACATCCCACAGACCACTCTGCTCAGTTGGATTATCTTCCCATCCAGAGGATGTTGGCGCTTGGTGAATGTTGGCTGTCAGATGCGGGGAAGGAAGAGGGTATAGAGGCTTCACAGCATGAGGCTGGGTGGAGAAGAAACCCTCAGGGTGGTTTGTAGAGACCTGGGTCCTGTCTGTCTACAGCAAAAGTGAGCAGTTAACCTGAAATCCATCACTACAGGAGCAATACGTACCGTAGGAGCCATGGATGCTGCTCAGGCTCCTTTTCTGGTTTCTGTTCTCCTGTTACTTGTAACATAGGATGGCAGATTCTTCACGTGGAGCCAGGAGAGCTGCAGCAGACCGAAGGCCGGTGAGGGCTGTTGTACTCTCATGCCTGGGTTGGTGCTTGATGAAGTCATACACATAGCTGCTTCACCCTTTGTAGCAGGCTTCTGGGAATAGGGCTAGTAGCCATTTCACTTTTGGGGTAGTTCTAAGCTGCAACATTCCTGCCACTGCTCATCTCAGCTTTGGCAATCTGCTGTCAGACCCAGGTAGAGGAGTGAAAGATTGTATGCTGCTGAAGTGAATTTTGGTCTCACTTTTTGACCTTGGAGGTTGGGAAATACATCCTCTAACCCCTGCCCCTGGTTCCTAATTCTGTTAATAGAGCCCTGGGTTGTTTTTTTTTAACCATCTATCCTAACCACAAGCCAGTAGGTCTGTTGAAAGAGAGGAGAATAAAACAGCTGGATGGTGGAAAGCCATCCACTGTTCTTTTCATCACCCAGCCTATGTCATGTTGACAGGGAGGATGCTTGTGGGCAGGAGAGCAACAGACCATGGTGTGACGGGTGGGGACAACAGTATTTGGTGGTGGTGACAGTCCCCCAGCAGATGTCCCTCAGTCACTGACACAGTGTGCGCACTTTGAAGCCTGCAGGCCCTCAAGGGAGGGGAAGGGGCAGCCTTAGCTGGGACCTGGCTTAGTGTCCCCTCACTGCTGGTGGCGGACCTGTTGTTCCCCTGTCCCTTCCACTCTGGGTGAGCTGGCCTGCAAGAGGAAGCTGGATTGTGGTTTCCCCTTCACTCTGGAGTGTCCCTTCCTTTCCCCTGGTCCGGGAAGCTCAGTCCCCTCCTCTGTACATACCCCTGTTGTGTGGGAATTGCTGATGTTTGTTGGTGTGTCCGTGTCTGCTGTAGAACAGGTTTTGCTGTCCCCTTCTCACAGGCAGGTGTGCACTGCCCTGCTGTTGTGTTGTTCAGTCACGGACCTGGGGGGAGGGAGGGAGGAGACCCTAAGTAATGGGGGGGGGGGGTAATTAGTGAAATGAAATAGGTCACTTCCCACTGTCTTCTCTATGGATGTGTATAATATTGAGTGTGTGTCTGGCCCTGCTGTCTCCTAGCTGTTAGCTGAGTAAGTGTGACTATTACTATGAGTATGGACTGTCTGACCACAGCCGTGTATCACACTAAATAAAGTTATTTCACCAACACTTTTGCTGTCCTGCTGCTGAAGAGGAGCCTTGTGATGCCTCTGCATACTTCACTTGTAGGTTTGACAATGCTGTCTGGTGTCCTGTAGGGTGGATGAAGGGTGAGCTTACAGAGTTTGAGTGTGGCTTTGGGACTACAGTGGGAGGAGAAGGGCTTTTGCTCCAGAAGGTCAGGCTACCTACAGTATCTTGCCAATCTGCCTCCCTGGCCAGGGACTTAATTCACTGACATAGATCTGCTCCAGTCCTCATGACTTTTGGCCTGTTTTGCAAGTTGCTAAAAATTATCCAATGTTCCTGGACCTGTTGTTTTACCATCAGGAATCAGTAACTGCTATTTGTCCTTCTGGTTCCGGAGGATAAAATTGACTGTGGTGGCCAGTGCAAACCCCATTAATGCTTTGTCAGTTAACTTACACTCATGCCTCAGGTATGTTGGACAAAGAATCTACTCTTTCCTGTTTGCCTACAGCCAGTCACAGGGTCAGCAAGACGGCTGTGAAAGCACCCATCTAATTACCTCTGAGTAATGGAAGGGAGGAAATGGCCCTGGGCATCTCCCTGGAGCTCCTGTGAGGGACTGCTCAGAAGCAGGATGAACAAACTGAATGTTGAGGTTGTATTTGCAGTCTCCTGTGGAGTTCAAGGTGCCTCTTGGCTCCTCAGCCATTGGATTGTGTGCTGAAAGCTTGAGTTGTGCATTCAATCACTGTTTTCCAGCAGGCAGAGACCAGAGCTGACCACCTCCCTGGCATGTCTGGGCACAACAGGGGGAGAAGGGAAGGTGGACCAGTAGGAGGCTGCCTTGCTGCAACCTGAGCATCCTTCCCAAAGGAACATATAAATGCTGGAAACTGGTGTGAGACTGCAGATGTGAACATTCCATGGGACACAGAGCCCTGGCCCCAGAGAAGAGCTCCTACATCTTACAGTGGGGCTTCCAGAATGCTTTCCCTGGTAGAAAAGCTAAGTTTGCTGTTTGGAGTTTCTTTTCTAGTGTATTTCATTCCACTTCAGCCTGGCTCAGCTTTCTACCCAGCAACTGAGCTAAGAGCAAGCTTGCTGGCAGTGCTGAACTTGGGTCAGGGCTACTACCCTTCACCATCCCAAGCAAGTTGTTTGTGGTACCACGGACACAACCCTCCACTGCAGCTCTTGCTCCAGGTAGTGCTGAAGCAGTGCTCCAGGTTAAAATCAAGGACTAGGCTTTCAGCTGTGTGGGTGGAAGAACAGCCTTAAACCAGAGCTGCATGCTGTATGGGTCTCATGCACTTCCTCAGAGTAGTGCTGAGGGTGTTAACAAACAACCCCCTCCACACAGAGACAGCCTGAGTGGGAACAGAATGAACTCTGGTTGCTGTACTTTTTATTATTTCAGTTATTACAGATAAGCAGAAAACACCACACAGATAGCCACGGCGCAAGGGCTGTCCTGATACCACTTAGTATGTGGTACTACCGTGCGGAGTAGCACACGACAGGACTATGTCAAGTGAAGAAAGCAGGTTCCGTGCGTGAAACCCTCAACCGTGCCGATGCTGCCCTGGGAGGAACCCAGTCAAGCACCTACAGCAGTTCACAAACATGCTGAGAGCATCTCGGTCCTGTAGTGTGGGGGGTGGCTAAGCAGCACAGAGGTACAAACCTGCCTTGGCAGACTAGTGCAGTGAGATATGTGAACTGAGTTTGAGTGGATTTTACTCCTGTTCTTGAGTCCAAAGTAAACCCAGTAGGGAGTAGCAGAGGTAGGACAGTAGAGAAGGAAAGAACTTCATGGTACCAGAAAAGTGAACAGGTTGATCTCTTGGAGGACGAAGGCTGTGCTGTGCTCCAGCATGCTCATACCCTCTTGCCTTGTATCTAGTAACGAGGGTTGGATCCAGAACCAGCAGTGCCCTCATTTAATTCAAGTTGTGCTAGAAGAGAAGCACAGATCTTGCCAGAGAACCTGCCCTCTGGTACCCACGTGCACATCAGCTTCAACAGCTTGTTTCAACATCCAGTTCAAGGAGTACAGACTAAAGCCCTGTCCATCTTCCAACTAAATAAGATTCCATTGGTATCCCTCCATGCAGGAAACAGCTGATGCCTGTGCAGCCAACAGAACAGTTGTACCTCCAGTGACAGCTGAAACACGGTATGTCATCTCAGATGTTGAGGAAAAGGAGAGTCCTTAGCAGGATGGCCCCTCTGGAAACCCAGCAGACAGTTGCCTGCTAGTGAACAGTTCTTTCCTTCTGTCTCTGGTAATCTGGAAGGGAAAGGCAAGGCTGAAAGAGCAGGAGAGCTGGCTGCGGACGGCAAGATGGAATTAGCAAAAATGTTACAGGAGAAAATACATTCCATTTATACCTCACTAAGTAGAGACAGTGTTTGCTACCCTCTTGGGTAGCAGCTGGCTTTAAAGTAGTATTTGCACCCCAGCCACTCATTTCATGTTATTTTAGGGCATTGAAAGTTTGAAGTCTCTTCCTCTGCTCTCTGTTTTTCTTCTTTCTTCACTTGAGAGTCAGTTTCCATTTTATAAAGAATCCTTGTTTGGCTTGACCTGACCTTCCTCCCCCTCCATTATATCTATGAACTCTGGGGTTACAGAAACCAAGCACTAATACAGTCTTATCCTTCACTCAGAATCTGAATGTTCTTAGGGAGGGCACTTACTGTAGGGGAAGTAACGCACACGCATGGTGATCTCACGGGCTGTCTTCAGGATCTCCACAGCCTGAAACCAGAAAGAGTTGCTCAGTGACCAGACTGGGCTGGAGGAAAGAGGAATGCATCAGTTTTACGGTGTCACCAGCTCAGTTGGTGCAGGCTGAGGGACCGGAAGGAGATGATGGGTGCACAATTCCTCTCCATCCTGTCCCTGCTTCAGCAGTGGAGCTGCAAGAGTGCTCACCTTGCTGTGCTCAATGTCCTGGAAATCCACATCATTTACTGAGAGCACCTGGTCACCTTCCTGCAGCCCAGCCCTGTGTGCATCTGAGTCGGGGATCACCTGTGAAGGGAACAGCAGGGACAACAGCAGTGACCCATGGCACAGCCCGGCTCCAGAGCCTCCCCATGGTGCCCATCTATAGGACAGGGGAGGATGGGGAGCAGTGGGTACTGCAGTGCAGCACCAATGCTCTGTGTGCTGGTGAGAGATCAGGCAATGCTGCAGGAATGGCTGCTTGGTGCGTGGCAAATTACAGCTGTGAGTTCAGAGACTCATATGACAGTTTCCCTGCACACCCAGCTGGCTCAGCAACACCCAAGGGAACAGACAGGATAGACGTAAGGAAATGGTAAAGGACAGACACACCTTAGAGATGAAGATCCCCAGCTGCGAGGCTTTTCCTCCTCGGATGTTGAAGCCCAGCTGCGAGAGAGAACAGCAGTGAAATACAACCCGGGCTTTGACCCAGGATCCTTTCCGCTGCCAGTGTTTCAGATTCAGCGTTCCTCCCCGCTCCCTGTCCTCCATCAGCTCCACATCCCCACACGTGAACACCTCTTGCCTCACCCACGTTCGCTCCGTTCACTCCCGGTTGGGAGCAGCACCAGCGCCGGCACCACCCCGCTGCCAGAACGTTGCCCGTCGGGGATTATCGCAACCCCGCAACTCGGCTTCAAGCAATTTTTGCCAGGAAGGGCATTGGGAACCGTGAACCGAGCAAGGGGGGAAACGACCGGGAGGGACCCGCGCCCCCCGCAGGCAGGGGGAGAAGGGTCAGTGTTAGGCGGGGCCTCACCTGCGCCCCGGGCGGCTTCTTCAAGACGATGGTGCGGGGCAGGAACTGGGTGAGCTCGTTGTTGTAGTCGGGGTGGTACACCCTCTGCAAGGCAACGCCCGTCAGCTCTGCCGCGCACCCCGGGCCGGGCCGCGGACCCCCGCCGCTTGCCCGCCCCGGGTTGCCGCCGCTCCACCACCACCACCACCATCCCGCCCCATCCCCGCACCTCATGCGGCGGCACCCAGGCGGGCGGGCTCTCGTAGGGCGGCAGGAACACCACCGGGAAGTCATCGTAGGGCAGCCGGCCCTCCATGCTGCCGCGCCGCCTCACGGGACGGGCCGGGACGGGGCAGAGCCCGGCCCGCTCCTCCCCTCCCCGCCCCGCCGTGCGCCCTGACGCAGGGCGCCGCCATTGGCGGTTCGCTGAACGCGGGTCCCGTTTGAATGTTGGCGGTTGCGGCGCCGCCTCCGCAGCTCGCAGCGGAGGAGCCTGGTGGGTCTCGGGCCGGGCCGGTGGCGGTTGCGAGGGCAGTTGCTCCCCCAGCTTCCCCCGCTTCCCCCGCTTCCCCCTTCCCCTCAGGCACGGCCGCTGCCTGTCGGGGCTGGGCGCTGGTAGCGGGGTGTAGGCCTCGCAGCTGCGGCCCAGGCCCCGGCACGGTACCTGCTGGCAGCGATGGGTGCTGCTCCTGTGAGGCCTTAACCCGGCTCCACTCCTCCGCAGGGCGGCCTCGGTGCCTGAAAATGATGAAGGAAGATGCGAAGGTGATCCCGGTGCGAGTGGCGTTGCGCTGCCGGCCCTTAGTGCCGAAGGAGATCAGCGAAGGGTGCCAGACGTGCCTGTCCTTCGTGCCGGGGGAGCAGCAGGTAGGGGAGCCCGCGTTCCGCACCGGGGCTGGCGGTGCCTCCCTCCTTCGGGGTGCTGCTGGGGCCTCGTAGTGAGCGTGGTCTGTATGTCTGTCTGCTCCGCAGGTGGTCGTCGGTAATGATAAGTCGTTCACTTATGACTACGTGTTTGACCCTTCTGTCGAGCAAGAGGAGGTCTTCAACACAGCTGTGTCCTCTCTCATACGAGGCATCTTCAAAGGTGCGTGTTAACTGAGCTTATACATCGTAGAATTGTGGAATACCAGCTTGGAAGGGACCTCAAGGATCATCTGGTCCAACATTTAAACTCTGATTTAAATTACTGGGAGTTTTGGTGGGCTCAGCTGTGGAAGGAAGTGCTGTTTAATTCTTCCTTCTGACTCACTTTTTCTTTTGTTTTTCTCAGAAAATTAAATCCCGCACTAGCCAGATTGTGACTTCAACCTCTTGTGCTAGATCTTGCCTCTTTGCAACCGGTTACACTCCACAAAATGATCTCTGTGTTTTCTTTAGGTCATTTTATTTCCTGATGCTGTTTCTGTAAGGCAAGAGTATTTTATCAAGAATAATAGGATGAGTTGCTAAGCATCTCATACCAGGAGCTGTTAGTGATGGTACTGCAGAGCTGGGATGACAGAACTTACACTGTGTTTCTGTGGCTAGCTCTAATAAAGCTTTAACAAAGAGTTGGAATAACAATTTTGTCTGTGTTTATGTTGCTAACTGTGATCTGTGCATAAAGCTTCTGTTAAATAGACGTCAAGGATCAGTGCTTTTCCCAGAATGCAGTTTTGTTCATTAAAGCTTCTTCTGGTTCCCATGTGATTATCTGATCTGGGCACCCTTTGTTCCCCAGGGTACAATGCCACTGTGTTAGCCTATGGACAGACAGGATCTGGGAAAACGTACTCTATGGGAGGTACCTACACTGCCAGTCAAGAGGATGAGCCCAGTGTGGGAGTCATCCCGCGGGTAATCAAGCTGCTGTTTAAGGAGAAGGAACAAAGGCAGGATTGGGAATTCATCCTCAAAGTTTCTTATCTGGAGGTAAAAGTTGTTTTGATTTTCAAGCTATTATGAACTGCAAATAAAGTGAGCTTTAATGAGGCCACCTCCTTCAAATTGTAGGTATTTGTTAAATTAAGCCCAAAGACCACATAAGGTCTTGTCAGGAAGTTGATTACGAGTCCTCGGTGTCTTTCAGTAGCGGTAAAACGAACAGAATGCAGTACAGAGGTAGCCATGATTTCAGCATAACTATGTGTCTGTCTCCATGCAAGGCTGATAACTGAACTGCTGCTCTGATGTTTTCAGATCTACAATGAGGATATTCTAGACCTTCTGTGTCCATCAAGAGAACGGCCTTCTCCAATCAGCATACGGGAAGACCCAAAAGAAGGCATAAAGGTCTGTTGCCCTGTTAGATGGGTCACATACAGCGTGATATGGCATGGGACGAATGTTTCGGTGAACTGTCTGACTCCTTAAGTGCTGCTTTGTGTTAGTGTGTGAGAAATCATCACAATTACTCATTTCTCTCAAAATCCGAGCTGTTGTTGATTCTTAAGTTTACTTGGGTAACACCAATAGGGGAAAACATTCATCACGAAGACAAGTTCTGTTCTGACTTCTTTTGAAGGCTATTTTAGGTGAATATCTGAGAACGTGCTTTGAGTCCTTCACCAAATTCCAAACCCTTGCAATTGCGCTCTTCCTTTTGGCAGAAGTAGTGTACAACAAAAGGATCCTGAGAGGAAATTATTTTAGTGCCCAAGTTATTTGTTTTGTGCATACGTGCAGATAAGCCTTATGCTACTGGTTGTTCTGTGTACTCATTTTGTAGCTGAGCTTCTGCTGTGCTTTATTCACACCAATTCAGTCTGCAGTGGTGGGTAGGTTGTCAGTTGTCATGCACACAGCTTAGGTGTCATGTCACTTTGATCCATTAATGTCTTTGTTACATGTAGTCCTGTGCTGTTTGTTGTCATCTCTAAAATATTGTGGTGCAACTCGTCCATGTGTTAGTAGCAGCATTGTGATTCAGGGAGACAGGCCTTTTAGGGAAAATGCAAGCTTGCCAAGGAGCATGATCAGTGCCCGCTATGCAGTCCTTTCTGTCCCTAAAAACCTGCCTCCCCTCTGCTCTATTCACACAAGTCGCCACCCCCACCAGCCAGTTTTCCACTTTCTGTGCCAGTGATGGGCACAGCTGTCAGCTCTCAGCTTGGCCAGGCATATGTGAAGGCAACTCTAGATTTCTCCACAGAATACTGAGGAGCCCAGCTAGCTCTCAAGCAGGCACGGAGGAACTTGGCGTGTGTATGAAGGAGAGATGATAGGATTAACATTACTGATAGGAAATTCAGAGCAAATTTTTGCTGGGGGAAATCCATACCAAGCTTCTGGCTTGAAATAAGGCTGATTATTGTGAATGCATATTTACAAAGGGAATTAACTTTGCTACAGGCTAAGACAGGATAAATTTTCTGATGGAAGTCAGGATAAAGAGGATAAATAATGCTTTCTTTCTGGATACAGATTGTAGGGTTAACAGAAAGAAATGTCACTTGTGCCCAAGAGATGGTATTCTGCCTAGAGCAAGGGAATAATTCCAGGACAGTGGCTTCCACAGCAATGAATTCCCAGTCCTCACGGTCCCATGCCATCTTCACCATTTGCATTGACCAGAAGAAGAAAAGTGACAAGTAAGTGTGATCGCACAGTCAGTCCTAGCAGTTGTTGGGGGTCAGACTTACTTAGCATTTCACAGTCCTGTCATTCTTTCCTGGTCTTGGATGAACTCAGCTGAGCTTGAGGCATTTCTTTTACTTGGCTGTCTCTGATATGAAGAATGGTTTTCAGCCTGGTAGCTCAACTACAGTAACCACTGGACTGCTTTCCTAACTGCATGTTTACTTGAGAGAGTAAAATAGTTTTTTTCTGCCATAGGAACAGCAGTTTTCGCTCCAAGCTGCATCTGGTTGATCTTGCTGGCTCCGAGAGACAAAAGAAGACCAAGGCTGAGGGAGACAGACTAAAAGAAGGTGTGTAGGAAAATGACTGGTATAGCTTGGGTTTCTTAACGCTTCTGAGTTCACAAAAAAGCAAAGCAGTTCTTTTAATTAACACTTTTAATGTGCTTTTTTTAAACCTTTTTGGTTATTTTTTTTTATAATAAGGACAGGAAATGAACAATTCCCAGTTACGGAGACATCTCTGCTCACTGTCATCTATTTGTCTGCAGGTATCAACATAAACAGAGGTCTCCTCTGCCTGGGGAATGTAATTAGTGCCCTTGGTGATGAAAATAAAAAGGGGAGTTTTGTCCCATACAGAGACTCAAAGTTAACAAGATTGCTGCAAGGTAAGAGACAGATGACGATAAATCTACATATGCACTTTAAATAACAAAGTAGCAAAAAAACCTCAACAGCCATAAAACCCCACAGCTCAAAGCAGTGGCTGCTGTTGACAGGAGGGCTTGCATTTAATGGTTTAGTTCCACTTCTTGCTGAAGCTGGGCCTGTTCTGTACTCTGATTTTTGAGGTTGCAAATATGTTGAGATGGACACAGTTGAGTCCACCTGTTTTGCAGTTCCTATGTGATAGAAGGAAACTAGACAAAGTGCATTTAGTTTTTTGGTGAGGAGAAGAAAGACGAGAAGCTATGTCTGGAAGCAGAGATCTATTATTATACCCTAATTATAGCTACTTACTGGAGAATATTGCAACCAAAATGAAGCTCAGGCTGTCTGTGCCTTCACTGTATGCATTGTGTTTGTTTTGTTTTCTTAGTCTGAGTATCTGGTCCTTATGGTGCTTATTTTTCTGTAGTTGTGATGGGCTTTTAATGCATTTTACCTAAATTAACCTTTAATATAGTCGTAAGTATAGTCATGCAATTTACTGGAGTTTTTTTCTTGTAGTTAAATAATTTGGTACAACAAGTTAGGCTTTTCAGTATTTTCCCTGTCTGGAAGTACCTAATAAAAAGAAGCTGGGTTGGGCAGAGGTTATTATGGGACCCTTTTTTTTTTCCTGATCATCCTGATATGTGTTAGTCTAAAACAAAAGGATAAGATGGCATACAGCTGGACAAGTTGAATAAATATATTGTTGGCCAATAATTCTTTAAATCTGAAGGTAGTGTGAATTCTGATGTCTGGATATCCATGGGGATCTTGGGTATTATTGTGTGGGAGAAGGGAGGAAGTAACCTGAGAGAACTATGCCAGAAATAGCACACAGAAATTGCAGTAATTACAGAAATTACTTAACAGGACAACAACGTTACTGGGACTTCTGATGTGAAATAGCTGGGGCTTAGGGATGAGACATAACTTTGGGATTTTGGCTTACAAAAATAAGCTGATTGTGCTGTATTTTCCTTCTCAGATTCTCTGGGGGGAAACAGCCACACTCTCATGATTGCCTGTGTAAGCCCAGCGGATTCCAATCTAGAAGAAACCCTGAATACTCTG